CACTAAACGGAACAGCAGAACAAGACAGACAGGTAATAAACACCAAAGGGAACAGCAGAACGAGACAGACAGGTAGTAACACTAAAGGGAACAGCAGAAGAAGACAGACAGGTAGTAAACACTAAAGGGAACAGCAGAAGAAGACAGACAGGTAGTAACACTAAAGGGAACAGCGGAACAAGACAGACAGGTAGTAAACACTAAAGGGAACAGCAGAACATGACAGACAGGTAGTAAACACTAAACGGAACAGCAGAACAAGACAGACAGGTAGTAGCACTAAAGGGAACAGCAGAATAAGACAGACACGTAGTAAACACTAAAGGGAACAGCAGAACAAGACAGACAGGTAGTAAACACTAAAGGGAACAGCAGAACAAGACAGACAGGTAGTAAACACTAAAGGGAACAGCAGAACAAGACAGACAGGTAGTAAACACTAAAGGGAACAGTATAACAAGACAGACAGGTAGTAAACACTAAAGGGAACAGCAGAACAAGACAGACAGTTAGTAAACACTAAAGGGATCAGCAGAACAAGACAGACAGGTAATAAACACTAAAGGGAGCAGCAGAACAAGACAGACAGGTAGTAAACACTAAAGGGAACACGGTATGGGCTCTGGCAGTGTTTAAAGACTGTTTAATGGATTCAATAATAATTTTCTTAGCAGAAGCAATATGATAGCTTTTAAATCAATAACACCAATCTGATATTCTGAGATTGTTTATTTAGTATGTAGCCATCTAATTAGCTGCTTAATGTGCAGCAAGGCGGTCATTAATGAGAAAAGAACACCCAGGGAGTCAACATCTGTCGGTGTCCTTATTTTATTGATGATTGCCTCACTGCACATGAGTCCTTACTTATTCTCTATACCTGCATGTAGATGTAGTGGTTGAAGCAGGTGTCTTTTTTCCTCAGCTCGGGGGTAGAGGTGAGATTTCTAGCTTTCCGGTTGGTTTCACTGAAGAAACCTCGATACATAGTTCTCGTGGGATCCACGTCGATCGAGTACGAGATGTTCAACGTGGAGCTCATTTCCTCTGCAACGGCAAACAGAGGGATTGAAATAAGGTTAATATGTTGTGAAATATAAGAACATGTTATTAAATCACATTATTTGGTTAGGTCTTACCTGCTTTACTTGTTGTTTCTACCATTTCAAAGCAGGCTGTTAGGTTTACCATTGGTACATTTGCATCTGTGTTGCCAAGGCACTCAATTTTGTCCGTGTTTATCTCTTTAGGTTGAAAATACAGAGAAGCCATGACATTAAAGACAGGCCTGGACCTGAAAGACATTCATAAAAAACAAAAAACATATTGGTTAACAGACTTTGCACTAGAATGATTCCTATGGTATAATTGTGTACACATTTATGAAGGATGTGTAAACAAGACACCAGTCCCATGATTTGTCTACGTTTTATAGGAGGTGATTGACAGTTCTCTCCTCACTCAGACATTTTTCAAGGGGGTTGCGATGCACTTCAACAAAGATCAGAAAAACATCTAAATTCATTGTCAACACATTTTTTGTCCAACTAAAGCAAGCATATGTTTAACATTTCAGGAACATAAAATCAAAGTGGAGTGTTATATGTTTTATAGTCATTATAATGCTTCGATTATTACATTTGTCGGATAAAGATATACAGTTGGACTATTGATCCTGAAAAATGTCATGTTTACTTTGATTTAATTTAACGGTATCTTAAATTCATCACTGCTAAAGTTCATATTTTACACTTTTCTTTAAGGGCATCTTTCCAATCAATCAATCAATCAAGGGGTCCTATTATGTTTTGGGGTTTTTTCCTTCTGCAACATAGTGACATCACTACCTAACACTACAGCTTCTTTTGGCTAGCGCTCCAACACAGTAGACGTGATAGGCTAGGGGCATACATCTCTGAGCTGTTGACCAATTACAACAGAGCCGGCCAGCTAACCAATCAGAGCAGACTGGGCTCTGGTTTCAGACAGAGGGTGAAAAGAGGTGCTGCAGCACTGGCAGTATGAGAAAAATAAAGAATTTTTTGAACATTAAAGCATGGAGATATGTCACTGTAGAGAAACTAAAGACTATATATGAGACCTCGAAATGTGCAGAATATGGCCCTAGATAGATAGATAGATAGATAGATAGATAGATAGATAGATGGATGGATGGATAGATAGATAGATAGATGGATAGATATATAAATAGATAGATAGAGATAGATAGATAGATGGATAGATGGATGGATGGATAGATAGATAGATGGATAAATATATAAATAGATAGATAGAGATAGATAGATGGATGGATGGATAGATAGATAGATAGATAGATAGAGATGGATGGATGGATGGATAGATAGATAGATCGATAAATAGATAGATAGATAACTTTTTTTTCTCATACTGCCAGTGCTGCAACACCTCTTTCCACCCTCTGTCTGAAACCAGAGCCCGGTCTGCTCTGATTGGTTAGCTGGCCGGCTCTGTTGCAATTGGTCAACAGCTCAGAGATGTATGCCCCTAGCCTATCACGTCCACTGTGTTGGAGCGTTAGCCAATAGAAGCTGTAGTGTTAGGTAGTGATGTCACTATGTTGCAGAAGGAAAAACCCCCAAAACATAATAGGGCCCCTTGATTGATTGATTGATTGATTGATTGATTGATTGATTGATTGATTGATTGATTGATTGGAAAGATGCCCCTAAAGAAAAGTGTAAAATATGAACTTTAGCAGTGGTGAATTTAAGATGGTAAATTAGATAGATAGATAGACATATAGATAGATCTTTCATTCAGCATTGAGACATATTCTTGAGTTGATGAGATAGCAATTGTTCTTAACCACATACACAATTTCTACACTACACATCCACAATTCCTTAAACCACATACAATAGCCCTACCTTAACACAACAGCTATGCCCTGTGATCCCACCACAATATCTGGGAGTTCATCCTCTCCAAGGTCAATGTCCCCATCAATGGACTGTCCAAAGAATCTCAGCCGGAGATCTATTTTATGACCAATGATTCTCTGGAATAATAGAAATTGAACAATTAAAATGGTACATGGTTTGCACATACTTAATGTGCATATTCGAGAGGATGATTCATGTTAAGTAGTTTGGGTAGATGCCCAGGGTTGGCAGATAAAGGTTTTTAAAAGTAAACTTCAAAATCTTCAACAAAGCCATTTCAATCCAAAAATTATCAATCATCGTTTTATAGGGAACTTAGATAGAGTTATGCAATGGAAATAAGGGAGAGAGACCAGTTCATGATGAATTCATCTTTTCAACCCTGAGAAAAACACATCATTTGTCAGGTTTTCTCTGTCTCACCTGGCTGTAATCGCTCCGTATCCCTCTGATTCTGTCGCCAAGATAGATATACACAACCCCGCTGTTATTGTCCTCAAGAGGAGCTCCAACAGCAACATCTCGCAGTCCATCTCCATTCAGATCGGCAAGGCTGGATATGGTGGTGCCAAATCTCCCCATGGAGGGTGCAGTCACAGTCAGTTCACCTTTCAGTTGCATCTATGGGAAATGGAAACATTCGATTATTCAGATAATAAAAGCATTGTTTTGCTTGATTGAAACTCAAACTTTGATTCTGAATCTTTGTCACAGCCCACCTCATCAGTCAGTGTGTAGATGTAGATCTGACCTTCCTTCTTCTCCTGAGGCTGGTAAAACTGTGGAGCTCCCACCAGCAGGAAATCAGTGTTACCGTCTGAGTCTGTGTCTACTGAGCACAGCTCTGCGCCAAAGTAGGAGCCAATCTGAAAAGTGAAGTTGGGATAAAGACATTTATTATACTTTGAACAGACATCATTTTCTCATGGTTTTTCTTCAAGGAAAGCGAAGTGCCACTGCAAGGAAGTGCTATGGTTTCCTCTCTGCAACCGCAGAAAGATGCTCCTCTGCACATTTTCATAAAGTTGCAACATGCAGCCTTTAGCATCACTAAATACATTTAATCAAATACATCTGCATGACACAGCAGCAGCCTGTTCCAAGGAGCATGTTAATGACTTTTTCTGAGTAACAGTGCAAAAATAAAACATGTAGTCTTTTTAGAGAAGATGTAAATGTGAGGTTTTTTTAGGTTTACTGAGCTAAGAAGTTGTCTCAAAGTTCAAATATAGACCTGCCTCTTTCACAGGTTCCCATTTTCAAGTTTAAAGTAGGTACATGTGAATGAATGAATGATGGAACGACAAAAAGGCAATGGTAGTAGATTGAGGTTAAAAAAAATGTTGTCTGGAATACATATGATGAATCAGATTTTATTTAAAACTAAACTCAAGACATATACCAACCTGTTCCCCGTTAACTCTTTGGAATGCCGTCCAGTTTTTGCCTTCATGTCTGAAAAGTACGACCTGTCCTGTGTGATTAAATCTTGGTGCCCCCGCGAAATAAATTGGAGCATTATTCTTCTTTCCAACAGAAATAGAGTATCCTGCAACAAAGCCAGCCACATTATGACATTATCTGCTAAAAGTTCATTCACATTGAAAAGGTTATTATCGTATGTAAGAGGTTTAATAGGAGGATGTTTCTAAAATAATTTCCTTTTTCAGAATCCCACTGATTTTGTGTCTTTTCCATCCTGGCTTTTTTTTTTACATTTTATATACAAAGACCATTATCACCCATATTGCAGATTGGAAACTGATAGGAATCATTTACTGAGTCAAATGGTTTTTCGATTAAAAGAAACCTGAACATCAACATCTTAAGCCAATATAAAACAATATCTCAATAGAGTGATGCAAAGAAAGAAACAGCTTTATGTTCAGTACCCAGGTAGGAGTCATCCAGCATGTGTGGATCTTCAATTTGTGTTTCTATTTCTCCACGGCGATCTTGGAGAGAACCACGCCAGCTGTTTGATCCCACTGAGCCCAGAATCAGGGTATCCTGTAGACAGAAATGTGCAGCTCAGAGAGGAGTAGAGTTACCAACACTAGGTATGTTGGAAGTAGACAAATCAATCGCGGCAGAAAGACTGTTTTGAATTTGGCTGGTTGGTCCAAAAATCAAAGATATCATAAAAGCAGGATTAGGTTGTCAAAGAGGCGAATTATGTTTTCAGCTTCACATCAGTATGTAGTGTCTCTCTACTGGGACATGTTTTAATGTTCAAAAAGCCCTTTATTTTTCTCATACTGCCTGTGCTGCAGCACCTCTTTTCACCCTCTGTCTGAAACCAGAGCCCAGTCTGCTCTGATTGGTTAGCTGGCCGGCTCTGTTGTGATTGGTCAACTGCTTAATGATGTGGTGGAAATGTCCAGGCCCTAAGCAAATCACATACGATGAGTTGGAGCACTATCCAATAGAAGTGTTAGATTGTGCTATGGAGGCTTAATCTGCATGATTACTTCCATTAAGGAGTGGTGGTTACACTTTTTTATTGTAATGTGTAATACTTTTAAATTTACATTCACGTGAACATGTTTTTGTTAAAAGAAAATAAATGGATTGAAGATCAAAAAACTAATTTTTGCTGTAATTAAATGTTTTGAAATGTTGTATTTTGTAAAATGTCATTGTTTTTTTTCATTTTGTGTTTTGACCTTCAGGGCCACGGTAGTAATTTATTTTAGTTTTATGAGCTTGATCTAATTATTGATCTAAACGTCTTGTGTTGACTTATACATGAATGGTTAGCTAGCACTGTGATGGTTTAGCTTGGATAAAATATGTAGATTTTTAAATTGCGTTTAGATTTTATCTTTTTGACTTGACTCACGTTGAAGAAGGCAGCACTGAATCCACTCTGAGACATTTCATTGTTCAATTCTCCAGCCCGAGACACTTTGGAGCCTAAACATAAAATACATTAGCTCTTCATTGTAAAAACAATATTGTACAAACGTAAGAAAAAAACACAATTGAAACTCACCTTCCATTTGAAAGATCTTTTTTTGAAAGCTTTCCAGTACTCCTTTGAGTCCGTCATAGTTCTCAATTTTGAAGGCATTTTTGTCTTTCGGTTCTGAAGCAATGGCTCTGAATTTCTCCAGTTTAGCATCTTTGACCTGAAACCAAAGCTTGAAATTAAGAATTCCTCCAGAGACACAAAGTTGTATAATCTTGAATTCAAAACTTGAATCAGTCCAGGTTGCACTAGACATCTAGGAATGTAGGAATACATGGTCCTGACAGTATACTGTAGCAACACCAAGAATACTACCATACAAGCATAATGTGTAGCACACATTGTAGAAAGGGGAATCAAAATACTAACATAAGAGCATATGCCCTGTGTAGTGGACATTTTACAGTGGGGAATCACAACGGCTCTCTGTGACAGCAGCTTTGTCGATGCTTAGCTAAGTGTTAGAAAATGTTCGGACTTGATGCCAATAATTCAGAAATCATGTTATAATAAAGTAAAAAACTCTCTGATTTGTCCCACAAGTTTGTCATGCATTTCTTCATTACAACACCACACGTTGCTTTATCTCCTCCAGAACTACAGGGGAATACTAGTATTTTAAACTTCAGAGTTATAATCAATCACAGAATACAATTATGATTAACATGACATTTTCTCATTGATTGACAGCTCTAGTCTAAACTATAGTTTTTTTCTGAGAAGTAGTAGTGTGTATCATCTGCATAGTGATGAACTTTCCATTAGAAGAAAATGATCCCTGGTGTTGCTGTTTTAGATAAATATATACATTTCTCAGACAGACAAAATGATGAGACATGTTTAGAACATCATAACTTACCCCAATGACAAAGCGAATGATGTTTTGATCATCATATCTTTTAATAATCCCTCTGTCTCTATCACTGGGATCTCCATCCGTTATTAGTACCACCACTTTAGTTGCATCAGGAGAGGCGCCTGCTTTTGGGTTTTTCAAAATGTCGTCCCTGAAACAAATGTGAAACTATCCTTGAAAAAAAGAAAAGTCTTCTAAACTATGATTTAATTACTTCAAAAAATAAAACTTTCATAATATTACAGCTGTACTGTGAAATTATAGCTATTGATTGCAATGCAACAAAAGCTGTTATTTAATGTGTTTAGAGTTGGAGAACGGCTTTTGTAATGTTACTGAACCTACAGCACATATGTCAGAGCGTTGTGTGTGTTGGTGAGTTTTCTCATATGGGGTTCTTTCATGAGTTTTTCCAGATAACTACCAGCTTGGTAGTCATTGAAGTCAAACACGTTCCTGTTAGTAAAGGAGAACTGAACCGCCGCAAACTGAAAATAAGCAGACAAGATCATACGTTATTCAACATTATGTCTGGGAAATTTCTTAAATAAATGCCATGAACGCCCTAATGTAGCTGTAGCACAGCGACCTTGATCGATGAGTTCTTAAGGCTGTTTATTATATCCACTATGAAATCTTTATTTTTGTTGAATTCTCCTTCGGTCATACTCCCGGATCCATCAAACAGAAAGACAAGATCCACTGTCTTTTTTGTGCAGTCTGAAAAAAATACGCAATGTTAACATTGAAAGAACATTCATTTAGGAAAAAAGTTATGAGAATATTTTTTTACTTGAAGAGTTGGAGAAGTTTCCTTTCTAATGATTTTACCTTGGAAAGCAGATGTGAAAGAGGAGGTTTGCTGAAGATTATCTGCGATGTTGAAGCACACGCTGTTCATATAGGAGTTCTCATAACACTCATGGACTACACTTGGACTGCAGACCTAGGTCAGCACATGAAGTCAAATCAATTTCATATTCCTCATATTGATTTTTTTATTGCGCAATAAGCTGATTTTCTTACTGTGAATTGGGATCGTTTGGAGTCTTTCGCTAACGAGAGGCCAAGGTGTTTGACGGATGTGTTTGTTAGAGAAATATCTGCAAACAGTAGCATTTAATTAAGTTTTCTTCAGAAGACACATAACATTTATCAGCTATTATGTTTACTTTTAACCTTTCATATTTCTTTGTTTTTGGTGTGATTTAAAGTGTAATATTGAAATAAATACCTTGAGGGTTGGTGCACCGAAAAGTTTGGTTTTGGTGGGATTTGCATATTGCTCCAGATCCGTTTTGCCGCAGTGGTGCTGTCGCGATTATCCTGTAGATGTGGTACCATTTTAGGGACCAGGCTGACATCATTAGCACAGTTTGAACTAAAGCGAAATAATGCTTTTGCAGTTGCAAGCAGGGCGTTAGACGCATCTTTTGTAATGCAACAGGAAGATAAGTCTTAGGCTGCAATGTCATTCACAGTGTTAAACCACAAGAGCTTTTCTCAGAAGCTCCTTATTGATAAACCAGAATTATCTTTAAGTTCTATGCAAAAGGAAACCACGCTGGAAAAAATAAATAAAAGTATTGAGCAATTTAACTTATCAGTTATTTGACATCTATCGCGACACTAAATACCATCAGGACCACCAAGCAAATGCAAACTTACCCTTTGTTTGTGCCAGACGAATATTGAAGTACTTTATATCCAAAGAAATCCTTTTGTTCACCAACATAGACAACAGGTTTTGTCATGTCAATATTGAAAGCCAAAGAAACATAGGTGGCTGCAATTTGTAAAAAGAAAAAAGTATACCATATTAGTAGAGGTGTTATAACATATAATAAGATATGATACAAAAACGTCAATCTTAGAAGGGAAATTAAGAGATAAAAAAATATCATGAACCTTAATAAAAAGAGTTGCCAAATAAGTTATCAGTGATAAATAAATCAAAAATATGAAATAGCATATATGTAATATCTAAAAGATGCGGTTATTTGGCAGATATTTCAAAAGAGCCTCAACTCCTACACTGAAAATGTGGCGGGAAAAAATGATTTAAATTGCTTCATGGGCAAATGTCCTTGGTGAATGTTTGGTTAAAGAAACATGGAAAAGCATTGGTGGATATATTTGCAGGCTATATTGTGTCTCATTGTCAATTAAATCGAGGCAAATATGTCATACTATAACATTGTCAAAGAGGGTGGACATTGAACAAATCTGTGCTTTCTAGCCTTTTCGGTAACCAAAATATAATTTGTTTGCAACAGTGTGTTGGAAAATCTGCGTGCATTACACATAAACCCTTAATTCACCGGACATTAAAACAACTGTTCGTAGTGGCCGAACGGTGGTACTTGACTTCTGTTCTAGTCTGTGATGTCATTTGGCCTGAAAATACTTTTTCCTATTGACAGGAAAAAAGAAGTCTTTAAATCAGCGCAGTTTTGCCAAATAAACTCCCCAGTATAAACACTTTTATAGCCCTTATTTAAATGATTAGTGTCTTAAAGTTGTAAAATGCGCTAAAAGCCGAATCCAGAGTATATTTCCTTCAGATGACCTGGGTACTTTTTGAATATACAGTGACTTCATTTTGGCTACCTGTGCTACTGAACAACTTCCATAGCAATGAACATGGCCCCGCCTCCAAGGCTGTATCCAGTTCTCTATATTGCAAATTTCCCCTCTGTGGGACTAATAAAGGTATTCTGATTCTGATACATCCATTCTAGTAGCAGGCAGCGCCATAGGTAGCAGCTAATGTAGCCTGAACCCAGGGACGTGCACAGGTACGGGCTAATGTTGCCCGGGTAACGGCCCGTTTGGCCTTTTTGGTTGGCCTGCCCCTCTGGAGAGAGCGAGAGTTTTTTTTTCTTTTTTCTGTTCTGGCCGAATCAACATGATGAGCTCACAATTAGTATTGTAGTGTCTCGCTGCGGGAAACACACTTTGTCAGCGCTGTCATCTGCCGGTGCGTTAAGACCACCTCAGTGTCGGAATTTGGAAACTTGCTTTTGAGTTCTCTCATGGCAGTTAGGGTATAAGGGACAAACCAGGGGACTTTACTTCCTCTTGATACCGTCGGTTATTTACAAAAAAAACACCTAAATATAGCCTACTTGTTGTTATTGTGCTTCTGTCTTTCTGTGTCTTTTCATCTGTAAGCTTCCTCAACGGGGCCGCTCGCTCTCTTTTCTTGATCGCCCTCTCACGGGTGAACAGTTCAATGTCCATGTCCAATGTACCACTTTGACCATCTCTGTTACTAAGTTATGGAATACTAAATAGGCTAAATAAGTAATTAGATACCTTACCGTTACTGTCTGCGCTCATAGAGAATGATAAGAATAAGAATAATGAGTATTGAACTGGTTTCATTAATTAGTGAGTTTATTTAAGGTAATTAGTTAGAGGCCCTATTTTATCAGTATGTCTGGACTGCACAGCAGTTACAATGGTTCAAACTACATTAGAACAGAATTGTCCCCATTTTGTCTTTAATAGTTACTAACATTAGATATTTTTAATGAGATATGGACCGCAAAACAAAAAATGTCCCTGGTTTTCATTTTTAAAAACAAGTTACCGAATGCAAGTAGTCGCCTTAGCTTATTTTGTTATGAGATGTGAATTACTGTTCAATTTAGTTGATGTAATAATAGTTTGGTTTCTTTTACATTAAAAACAAGTTACAATTTTCAAAAGGTATTTTTATCGGGGGGGGAGGCCCTTTTTCCAGTTTAGAGCAATAGCCCCTCCAAATGTCTGTGCACGTCGCAGGAATGCAGTTAGCTAAAGAATTCAACTCAATTATTCGCCCCTCCCCAAGATTATTATAATTTTTTTATTCAGATCCGACCAACTCAAGTGGCAGGAATTAAGGCAATTTATCCGACTTCACATAGCTCCCCAGGGTAACAATTAGCCTACACAACTAAAAACTCCACCTCATGAATCTCCTCAAACTGTGTGCCAAATTTGCTTCAAATCCATCCCACATCAATCAAATGCCTAATTACTTTGTGGAGATATGTGCTGGTTATTTCTTAGAACAAATCCCACAATTACCTGTACATATTGATAGTTTGAAATGTATTTTTGCTAAAGTTTTGAAATATCCAACTCCCGCCCATACAGCTAAGGGAAATAACCAGTGCTGAGAAATGCATTTCTTTAATAGTCAATGTTTCTAAGGGTAATACATGTTTTGTTTGTGTTAAAACAGTTTGAGATTATGTTGAAAATGTCTAATCTTGAAGCTGTAAGGCCTGAAGCTGCAGTGAAAGATTTGAACTGCACCTGGCATGAGTTTGTGGTCAAACCGTGAGTTTTTTGTGCTTTTGCACTCAGCACTGTTTCCGTACATCAAACTGAGGATAGCAACTGAGAGAATTATATTATGATATATAAAATGTAATCAAATACATCTGTATAGTTAACATTCAATAATACTAAATAATAATAAAGTAAAATAATTTAAAAAAAAATTGCAATACTTGTTTCTTCTCCCAAAATAAGAAGATCAAGCAACATTCTCAAGGTTTTTAGTCTCAAAATTAACTTCTGTTTTTCCCCTCACGGAAAGGAAACCTTATCTGTCCTTTTCTGGACTAATACAGTCTCTTTAATAAAAAGCAACATTTTAGATCTTACCAGCAGCCACCATGAAGGTGAGGAAGATGCGACGTCGCCCAAGCATCCTTCACCCTCTGTCTGCTGTGTGCTGCTGGTGTTTCCTGAGACATGTGATCATACTTCCTGTGTGCTTCTTGAAGGAGGGCGTTTCCGTAACAGATGGTTGTGACACTTCTGCTCTAACAGCTTCTAAGCTAAATGTTTCTATTCCCTTGTGCTTCCTCTTTCATTCATTCCTAAAGCCATCGTTTTGCAAATTTTTTTTTTGTTGTGCTTTTCAGAAAAAAGGTACCCCAGAATAAAGATAGAGGGGTTCATTGAAAAACACTGATTCACAACAGGATCTTTAATGTTAGAAGTCATTGGACACTTGAGTAAACACATCTGGCTCAATACGTTTTGGAGAAAGCTGCGAGAACAGTGTGCTCTGATTCTTGAAAATCTCAAACATTTTGTAAAATAGGAATGGTTCATTTGAATGGTAAGACTAAGCAATGCGCCAGTTTAAGAATAAGAAAGAAATACTCTTTCAATCAGATTTGCCTCTGCACTATTTAATCAGTTAGTTCTTATCCTGTTTATAAGTCCTCTTTTTTGTTTTTACTTTGAAACCTTAGTAACTAATATTACAAATATTACAAAATACTATTTATTTCAGTGGATCATTGGCAACATGTAATCAGTTGATAACGAAATAACTTGTTTTAAAACATATATAAGCCTCACCTTTTTTAAATAAATGTAATGTGTTTTTTTTTTACCTCTGTAACAAAATCAGGAAAATAACAATGAGGGCATTATTTATTCTACAAGAGAAAAGTTGCTGTAGCATTTTCTGTTTCCATATTATAGGTAAATTATAATAATACAGATCAATTGACCTTAAATACCCTTTTATATGTCTCTGCTCATCAATAAAACAAACATGCTCCTTTATCGGAATGCATTTTTCCATTTTTTAGCTTTTCAAGTTTGACAAAACCTAGTCATCGTGCTGCAAAGAAGATTTGATGCTTATCTAGTACACAGTGAGCAAACAGGATGTCAGTTCTAAAGTTTCAGCAACAGTAAACCACTGATATTGCAGGTGTGAAAGGAAATAAATGAACATGTTAAAAAAGTTCCCACTCACATTTTCTAATTGAATCATCGTGGGACTGTTTGTACACTTGTTGTGTTTATCTTTCTAGAAGGCTTGGGGTGTAGCAGGCTTTTGAACCTTGAGAGAAAAATCCACAACTGGGCAGCCCTGTGTTATGCAGCCCAGAGAAATGATGTCCACATGTGGGGAGAAATACATAGCTAAGTTCTCTGGAGTCACTCCTCCACTCGCCTCGATCAGCAGGGCTGGGAACTCCTCCTTCAGAACATGAGCTGCAACATGGAGCTCCTACGAGGAGAAGGAGGGAGGGGAAGGTGGGTGGAATGAAGTGGCAGAGTGAGTGGAAACCAGCCAATGAAAATGCAAAGTGACAAAGGCTTATGTGAGTTTAGTATTCTTCACCTGAGGTTGAAAGTTGTCCAGCATCACAATGTCTGCTCCTGCTGCGGCCGCCTCTCGGCCCTCGTCTGCCGATTGGCACTCCACCTCCACCTTAGAGCTGAAGCCACACACTGAGCGGGCCTCTCTCACAGCCTGCACACACACACATCTGTTGTGTTGAACGTCTTGTGAGCATACCCGACTTCACGACTCGGGTCACCGGTGTCATTGGGCCTCATGCAGGAAGCCATAAACGGACACATTTCCTCTTATTCTTGTTACAATTTCGCAATAGCCATTCCATTTTGGGACATTTTACAGTTCTACGTGTGGTTGACACTTTATCCAAGATAACCTTACATTAGATTCAGGGTGAGGGAGTATTCCCTTTACAATTAAATTAAAAAGAGGCGTAATCAGATTACTGATACATTTAAAAAAACAGTGGGGCTCACTAGAAGGATTACAATGTTACAATACATATACAATAAAGATTGTTATATTATAGGTAGACCTACTGGCTGCAATGTCTTTATGGATTAGGAACTGTAACTACATCAATTCAACTAGATACATAAAGAATGGTATTTATATATATACAAATAAAAAATGTCAGCCACATCAGCTACATAGGGATTGTTGCCAGCTTGTGAATATGTATGTGCATGTCATCTTGTCAAAATATGTTCCTGGAGACACCTGCTGTAGAGGGAACTACCAAGGAGGTGTTAGTGTCTTCGGTTCTTTGTGTATTTACGGTATATCTGTCTGTGGTCAGATTTTGTTAGTGTGATAACCGCAAGATGGGACAATGAAACATTATAGATTTGTCAAAATGAAGTCTGAGCTGAAAGATTTAGTAACTTTGCCGGAAGAAGTTGGGAACTAAGTGGGGAAGGTTGTCCCCCACCACTTAACCCTGGCCTGATTTTGCGTTGCCTCAAGCAAGTGTTGGAATGTATAAGAACATCTTTAAGTATATTTTGATGCCAATACTTTTGTACTTTTGATTAAAGGACTTTTACTTGTAACAGAGTATTTTTTATACTGTAGTATAGCTACTTTTACTTAAATAAAATCTCTGAGTGCTTCTTCCACCACTGGCGTTAAGTGATACCATTGCAAGGAAATGTAGCTTTTTCTTCAACATCTTAATATTTTGTGGTGGATATTTTGTAATGATTTGTAGGAACATACAGTCTCAGAGTGATAACTGTATCTGTGGTGCAGCTGCCCACCTGTGTGATACTTCCTGATGCCAACACATGGTTGTCCTTCAGCATCACCATTCCACTCAGGTCCTGTCTGTGCATGGACACACTGCCAACCAGCATGGCGTACTTTTCCACCAGACGGAAGCCCGGGGTGGTCTTGCGTGTGCCAGCCACTTCTCCATGCCAGCCTCTCTCTGCTGCTGCTGCTGCCTGGAGCTGAGAGCAGCGTGTGGCGATCCCAGAGGCCCGGGCCAGGCAGTTCAGAGCAGACCGCTCCCCCAAGAGGAGGCACCTGGCTGGGCCTTTCACAACGGCTGTCAGCGTGATGGCACCTGGGCCTGCATGGGGGTAGAGAGAGTCATGGAGGATTGACAGTGCATATTGTTTTAGAGAGTTTGTTGCTTAAACCGATGCAACACACCACAGCATTTATAGCCTATTTGCAATGCTCCTTCTTAAAAAGGCCTTTAAAATGCAATCCGTAACTTCATAAGATTTTTATCAGAATCAAAAATAGAACTCTTTATCTATCCGGGTGGGATTGTTTTTGGGACGGTTGCCCTATTTAGAATTAAAGAAAGAAAGAAAACATATACATATAAATACTTACATAGGAAATGAGATGTGTCAGAAAAACATTAAATGAAATAATTATACTACAATCAAATATACAATAAAAGAAAGATAAATTCTATAATATAAAATATTTTTTTTACAATTAAGAAGTAAAAGTGTGCACATTGTACTATAAGCTGTGTATTAAAATACATAATATAAATACAGTGGTGTATAAATAAGATATAAGAGAGGCCCTACTTTTTGTTTCCGTGAAAGGTTTAGGGGCGGGACAATCGTAATAATGGTCTGTAGTGAGCCGTTACTGGTGCGTCTTTTGTTATTGGAGACTTTGCGAGGGATTTTTAATTACATCTATTCTAATATATTGCTGCTTTGGAAGACACTGTGTAATGCCTACCAATATCCTCTCCCTCCTGGTAAACCCAGTCCACGGTGCAGCCGACCTCCGTGAACACTGCTGTGAAGAAGGGGCTCCCTGCCAGGACGCTGTTCGGGGTCTTACACAGCAGCCTGGCCTCCACCTCCTGTGACCCCACACAAGCTCCCGCTGGGTCAAAGTTCGGTGTGTCCTCTGCCAGCCATTCTCGTGCCAGCCGGGTCAGGGTGTGAGGCGGGATGCAGTGTGCTGCTTTGTGTGAGGGCATGGTCATTCTGTGGAAAATAACTATTTATTATAACTAATAACGAAACTTGGTGACAGAAAACTGAACCCCGATAATGAAGTGAAACAACTCTCAACGTGCTTTCTTGTCTCACAATTACTGACAAAAGCAACAAAAAGAGAACAAACATCTACAAATCGAGAGTACATTCAACATATCAGTTTCTAAGCACCCCACCCACCAAATTCCTATTTTTTTGTTGTTTAAAAAGCTCTTTATTTTTCTCATACTGCCTGTGCTGCAGCACCTCTTTTCACCCTCTGTCTGAAACCAGAGCCCAGTCTGCTCTGATTGGTTAGCTGAGCAGCTCCTTTGTAATTGGTCAACCGATTTGTCCTGCCGCTTAGCCTATCACGTACAATTGGTTGGTCCGCGAGCCAGAAGTGTGAGTGTTAAATAGTGATGTCACTATGTTATGGAATTAAACACAGGAGTCCAATGGAGGCGTTTCAGGCTCGGGGGGAGTGTGTTGGAGATAAACTCTCACTAGGATGTTAGCCTTTGCTGACCATTTACATGCATATAAAACCTATATAACACACTGCAGGAAAGGGAAACCCTCAAATGCATAATAGGAACCCTCTAAGTAAAAACCTACATGAAGTGGGAGACATAACAAATGTAGATGTTTCCATACGTGGCTAAAAGGGCTCATTAAATGGTTTGATCAATATCAAAATGATGTTATGGCCTTCACAGTCCCCAGTAAACTCCAGTGAGCACCCATGAGAAACATATTATTCCTAATGTATATGCTTTACTTTCATCAATCCTTCTGTGAGCTGCAGTAAGGAATTGTTTAAACGTCTGCTTCCACTAGTCAGTTCTGCATCCTAATCTGTACGACAAATATTCCAGATGTAAATATCTGGTACAAAATGAGAACATTAATAGAAAATGAAACAATAAAAACGAGACATTTACTTACTTCTTGCAATGGCTCTGCTTTCTCTGTTGGTCACAGGCTGTCGAGTTGTTCAGCTGGTCACACAGAGCCACAGGGAAATGTGACATGGAATTTGACCCTAACCATGTTGGAATGTTTACAAGCTATCTCAGCATTCTGTAGGTCCAACATTGATCGCTAGCCAGATCAAGAAATCAGTGTCCTGCCACTCAGCTGTTTGTTAGGCTGGTGCTGCTGTTGGGTTTGTTATTGGTGAGACTTTGTGTATGTATTCGTTTAAATAAGAGTACATCATTTTTTGCAGCCCTGGTAACTTTAAGGAAGCCATGTAGGGATTTGCTGCCATTTTGTTTTGCTTCCCCTTTTTTCACCTGTCATGTGTATGGTTAAGGGTGCCTGACATTGTTTTATATGGCCTTGCTAACATATCTTCTACCTCCATTTATTCAATGCTAGCTGGTCTATTTTGTTGACCGTTTTCTAGTAAATTCAGAAGCTTGTCATTTGGTACCATTGTGCAAGGATTTGTGGTAAACTTGTTACTCAATATGTTATAGGTGGGGTAACCCAGGCCCGGTTCTACGGGGGTGCATAAGGGTGCATTGCACCCTCAGTTGAGTCGTTATGCACCCTCATTTGAAAAATGAAAAGTAAAAAAAAAAAATGAAAGTGAAAAAAAAGAAAAAAGAAATGAAAGATATTACATATAATAACAATAATAACAATAGTAGTAATAATAATAATAATGAGAAGAATATAGTTGAAATAAAATACATTGTAATTGTGGTTAAATAACATTGTCTGCTGCATTTATTTGGTCAATTTAAATGGTAAGTAACGTTATTATGTCAGGTGCGCGTGACCTGTGCCCCATGCGTGTTCATCATTTGCAAAGTGCTTACACAGCAGTCAATGATGGACATCAGAAAATGGTTAAAACAACCAGCCCTTATCGCCAGCAGTAACACTGCATCTACTGCAGGTAATAACAGTTCAGATCATGGGGACATTACGTTATCCGCGGCCACTGTCGTGGACACTCACGTCCTCCTCGCCCACGGAGTTCGTTGTTGTCCCAAACACCGCCGCCACCCCTCGGCGGCCCGCAAGTGCCAGAGGACAGGGGCGGACTGGGGGGAAAAAGTGGCCCAGGGATTAATTGACAGAGAGGCCCACTCAATGCGCGGCATGTATCGGCCAGCCGGCGACGAAAGTATGTTACTTAACAAAAAACCCTATGCATTTTATGTTATTTTGGACAATTATTCATATAGTAATCACATTACCTGAGCCCTTGAGTTGCCTAGCAAAATAGTTTGCATATAACAGCATATATTTAATGATTTTAATGTTAACAGATCATTGATGCAATAACATTTTGACCCAATTTGCCTGACTTGACACATGGAATAAAACATGGGCATAGGAAGCATCCTCAATGTGGGTGAGACAATTTAACAGGGGGTGTGGGCAGGTGGTGGACCTCACCTCCTCTAGGGGGGGACCGCTTGAGGAAGGATCCGCCTTACTAGGGCCGTTTTTAAGAGTCAGGTCGCTGTGCCCAAGTCGGGGAATAGGTTATACTACGAATTTAACCTCCTTCTTGTAAAAAACTATCGCAGGTTAAAATCCCTCCAGCGATTCGGATTTGTCGCTTATGTTGTTAAAAACCTGCTATAATGTACCAGAGTTTAATGAGGTTTATGAGCCTATATCGAATAGGCTATAAAGTGCTTTGCGGCACCAGAATATGTATAAGATAATAACTAACGGTTGTGTATAAAAAGTTTAACGGAAGGTAATGGGGCAATGGGGGGTCTTTAAGCCGGTAAAAAAACTTTCTACCAACGGCAAAAAGTTCGGTAAAAAATTCGTGTAAAGAACGCTTGAAGGAGGATCCCCTTACTAGCTTTTTAAGGCTTACGTCGCTGTTCAAACTCCCGGGTCTAGGTTAACTCACTAATGATTTAAACGCTTCCTTATCCAGCTAGCCGCGAGTTTGCCTCCTGAAGCATTGTCTCGCTTGCCTCTTGAAAGGTAAAAACTTGCTAAATGTACAGTGTTTAATGAGGTTTACATAAGGTTTGATGAGAGCATATCAACAAGGTTATTAAGTGCTTTGCGGACATATTGTGTAAAGAGAATACTAACGCGTTGTATAAAAGTTAACCCGGAAAATAATTCGGGGGCCGGGGACTGTTTCAAGCCGGTAAAAGGTTTTTACAACAGAAAAAAGTACGGGTAAAATTCGTGTAGAACCGGTTGAGGAGGAATCCCCCTTACTAGCCCTTTGTAAAGTTAGCTCCCTGTGGCAGTCGGGGATAGGTTATACTACGGATTTAACTCTTCTTGTAAAAACTATCCGAGAGTTAGCACCTCCAGCATTCGATTGTCGCTCATGTTGTTAAAAACTGCTAAATGTACAGCGTTTAATGAATGTTTGATGAGCGTATAATCAAAAAAAGAGCTATAAGTGCTTTTGCGACATATGTGTAACGAGAATACTAACCGCCTGTATAAAGTTTAACCGAGAAGGTAATCGGCAGGCGGGGGTTTTATCGACCCGGTAAAACTTTTACACACGCAAAAGTTACGTAAAATTCCTGTAAAAGACGCCTGAGGAGGAATCCCCTTACTAGCCTTTTTAAGGTTAGGTCCTGTCCAAGTCGGGCTAAAGGTTAACAACTACGGATTTTACCACTTCCGTTATTAACTAGCGAGTTTGCTACTCGAACATTCCGCTTGCCTCTTACAAGGTAAAAACTGCCCAATACTACAGTCTATTCGGATGACCTGTGGACCGGACAGACGGAACGTTGTAGGTGAGTGTGTGTGTGTGTGTGTGTGTGTGTGTGTGTGTGTGTGTGGTGTGGTGTGTGTGTGTGTGTGTGTGTGTGTGTTGTGTGTGTGTGTGTGTGTGTGTGTGTGTGTGTGTGTGTGTGTGTGTGACAATTCAGTTGGTTGCGGGAAACGGACCCCCCGTATAAAGTAATGTTGTCTGTGGGATATGTGAGGATTGGGAATTGGGCATATTGGGACTGACAAATAAACATCTATAGAGGATTTGGATGTTTATTTCCAACCACTTTACCACCCGACCGGACAATGATATATATATCTCGCTATATATATACATATGTGTGACAAGACAAAGAACGTGACTGGCAGTCGTCGACAAGAGTGACATTTATAGCGCAGTGTTACCTTCGCGTCAACATAATTTTTTTTCTCTTTATCGGGATTGTAGGTCCCTCTTACATTAAATCACTTCATTTTGTTTGCTTATTTCCCGTCTTTCAGAACTACGTGTAAAACTAGGTAGAGTTTATTTGAATATTAGGTGTTGCCCCTTGGTCAAACGTCTCGACAACGAAAGCAACTGTATTCAAGGTCGGTACGCAGGTGCCGGAGAAAATTTGTAGATGACAACCGACTTTAGGCAAGACGGCCCTCCTATTGGTAGGGAGGCCAAAATCGAGGCAGGAGGTTCTCTCTGAGGAGAGAGGAGAGAGGAGATGTAGCAACATGGGAGCCAGCAATATCGAGGAGTTCTCCTCCTGAGGAGAGAGGAAGATGTTAGTCACATAGGGACCAATGCCGGGTGGAGGTCTGTTCGAGGAGGAGCTTATTAGCCTAGGAGCTGCTCGGAAATACCTCTTATACACAAGAAGGAAGCTCTGCCCGCGGCCGGGTTGTAGGCAAAGGCCCAGCGAACGGCCCTCGCTGGACCCTGCGTTTTTAATCTCTTTTACTCTGTTTGCCGAGTAAAGGCCTCCTGAGCGCGCAGCGACGACCTGGCGGCCCTGCTGGCCGACGGGGATGAGGGCAAATCCGCGGTGTCTGCGCTCCCCGGACGGAGTTAGTGACGCGCCGTGTTCACGCTGGCGTCAAAATTAATAAACAACAATAAATTTTCGGGTTATGAAGGTAATTTTAGTTAAGAGTAATTGTAAATCTTTTTCTATTCTTTACATCAAAGTAACCCAGAAAATAAGGATGCTAATGATAACAATTTTTGTTAATAAGCCGCGTCTGTCCCTTCGTCCACATAATAACTTGAAGTTTTGACCTGACTACACTAGGTGAAAGAACCAAGAATGGCTCCTTAGTTCGTTCGTAACAACAACTTAGGTCGACGTCAAATAGAATAACTGAAAATGCGTCTTAACGTTTCCTCCGACGATGTCACTAAGACCTTCAGATCATTATCTATTTACGAACTTTGGGTACCAAAAGATTTAGGACCGACCTCTGTCCCGGATTGTTCCGGTCCTCTTCGGTGATGCGGATGTAACATTGGGAAATATTTTCCCACGGTATGATTTTTCCACTCGAATTCTTATTGAGCAGTAGCAGACTGACAGACCACAACTTCGACTCCCCTATAACTTGTTCGTACATGTCTTCACATTGTCTTGAAACGAAAGGGGGTACATACACTCTGTCTTCCCCCGGTCAAATAACCTCCGTACTGTCATTCCGTCCGTGTAATTACAAAAAAGGTAAGGTCAAGATTGTAACCCAACTTTTATACGTTTTGGAGGAACGGATTACCGTCTATTCACTTCAGAAGGGTGAAAAAACCTTACAGAGGTAAATGTTGAACGAGGAGGGACTTAGGTAAGGTACGTCAACCCGACGGATCGGACTCCCTCTCTATTTGGGCACGATTATTTTTCCACAAAAGTTCTCTTACGTCAAATGCTGACAATGTTACTTCCCGAGCATATTAGTCGAGTGCCGTATAATATGCCGTCCCCCATTTCACGATAAAAAATACTTTCACCCCCCACCCCCTTTTTGCCCAAGGTCGCCCTCCACCGGACATGCCGACATGGGCGACGGTCATCCTATCTTTTCCCCCTTCACCTGCAGACTGAGTCTCCAGCCTCGCCCGAAACCTCTTCTTGCACAACCCGGGTGTAAGACAATGACTCAAATCCGATCAATCGATCGTCCAAATAACAAAACCCACGGAGGTGAACGACAAGTTTATTTACAACTTTCTTTTTCATTTAGACAAAATGTCAAGACAAAATATACCCACCAACTTCTT